TTTGGTAAAGTTCCCAAGTGAAGCTTTCTGGTTCTTATTTGGGAGTGTAGTGGGCTATATTTAGTGACTAGTTAAACTTATTCTCCTGTAATCTGTCTAATGGGTCTGATGAGTTTCTCCCCTCTTATTTACATTAGTTTGAGTAGGTTAGAAGTTTCTACAAACTTGCACTTTAATATACGTTTACCAGTTTGTTGCAATACAGTTATTTATGATAGTCTGATATGGAGTCTTTATTTCAATTATATCTATTGTAATGTCCCACATTTCTTTTTGTATTTGATCATTTGCAACCACTTTTGCATTTGTTAGTTTAAACAGTGGTTTATTTCTTTTATTGACATTTTCAAAGAACCTACCAAATTAACTTTATTATTAGATTCAATTGGTGTTTTTATTCTATTTCACCTATTCCTGTTCTGAATTTATTTCCTTTCTTCTGTTGCATTTGGAGTTCTGCTCTTCATCTTCTATTTCCTCAAGTTGTAGAATTGCTATTGATCCTCATTCATTCTTTTTTTTAATGTACACCTTATTGCTATACATTTTTCTCTGAGCATTACTTTTGCTACATGTCATGGATTTTGACATGTTGGATTTCATTACCATTTTAGTGTGGATAGATTTAGATTCCTCTCTTGGTTTCTTCAAAATGTCATTGATAGATTTGTTGTTATTGTTGTTGTTGTTTAATATTAAGTTCTTGAATTCCTATACATTTGTTTTACTTTTTCTCTCTAATTCCATTCCATTTGTTCAGAAAAAAAGATGCTTTGCGTGATTTCAATATTTTACAATTTGTTGAGGCATCCTTTGTATCCTAAATATAATCTATTCTAGAAAATGGTCCATGTGCTTTGGAGAATATACAAGAGGGTATATAATTTTTTCCCAAAGCTATGTAGTTAAAATTTTTTACAAAACAAACTTTTCACCTTCAATGTAGTATTGCTTTCCACTCATCTGTTCTGTCTTCCACTGTGAGTGCTTCCTTTGCTATATCTGATAGTCCGTGTGTGCTCTGCATTAGGGACCTTAGGTTTGTGCAATTTTTTTTGTTGTTGTTGATCATTCTGATAACTTTGGGTTTTACACTTAGGTCTCTGATCCATCATGAGTTCACTTTTGTGCACAGGATGAGCTATGGGTCCTGTCTCATTCTTCTGCAAATGCATATTCAGTTTTTCCAGTATAATTTGTTGAAGAGGGCATCCCCTTATTTAATGCTTCTTGGTCCTTGGTCAACAATAAGTTGTCTGTAGGCAATGGTTTTATTTCTGGGTTTTCTGTCCTATTCCACGGGTCGATGTATTTATCATTATACCAATACCAGGCTGTTTAGACAACGGAGGCTGTGTTGTAGGTTTTGAGGTCAGGTAGTGCAAGAGCACCTACTTTGTTCTTCTTTGGGGAATTTCTTTTCTTATCCTGGGCTTCTTCCTGCTATATATGAAGTTAATAATTTGTTTTTCTATTTCATTACATAATGATGTTGGGATTTTTATCAAGGTTGCATTGAATTTGTAAGTAAGTAAGTAATATTGATATTTTCACAATATTGAGTCTTCCTTTCCACAAAAACATGATATTCTTCCATTAGTGTAGGTCTCTTTTGATTTCTTGTACTAATGTTCTGGAGTTTTCTTTGTACAGGTCTTTTGTTTCTTTGGTTAGGTTTATTCCTAATTATGTCAAATCTGTGACTATTGTGAATGTTATTAGTGCTTTCTTGATGTCTTTTTTGGAACTCTTTCACTGCTATATAGGAGTACAATTGAGTTCTGCTTGTTAATTTTGTATCCTTTTCCATTACTCAACTCCATAATTGCTTCCAACAATCTTATTATAGCAAACTCAGGGTTCTGTATAAATAAAAGTATATTTACCTTATTTTGCAATAGTGACAGTTTCATTTCTTTGATCAGTTGTACACCCTTAATATCTTGTTTTTGTCTTATAGTTCTGGACAGAATTTCCAGCACAATGTTGAATGACAGTGACAATAATGGGTATCCTTGCCTCGTTCCCATTTTTAATCAGAATGATTTCACTTTTCCACAATTAAGTGTATTATTAACCATGAGTTTTTCATATATGACATTTATTATGTTAAGGAATTTCATTTTTATTCCTACCCCCCAAAGAATGACAGACAATGATATTATGCAACAAAAACTTCAAAGCACAATGATTAAGCATGTTTTAAAATATAAAGGAACTCAGTCAGCTCAACCCACTCCCCTCAAGTTGATTTCAACTAATAGTGACCGTATAAGACAAAGTAGAACTTTCTTCTGTGGGTTTCTGAGATTGTAAGTCTTATGAGAATAGAAATCCCCATATTTATCCTGTGGACCAGCTGATTTTGAACTGAGGCCTTTGTAACTAACACTTGAATATGTGACATAATGGAAAACAGTGGAAAGAAAATAAAAAGAAATTCAGGAAGCCAGCACAAGAACAGAGCAAAAACTTCAATTTAAAAAGAAAATCAAAAGGAATATTTCTTTATTTTTATTTGAAATTCTGGAGACCTTGGACCCAGGAGCTCAGAACCATAGTCTCTGTTCAATTGGTGTAACATAGTCCACAAAAGCAATGCTTCACATACTGCTTTGGTAAGTAGCTACTGGTGTCTGAAAGCTTAAGCAAGTGTGTAAGGTGAAACTACCATCTCTCCTCTTTGGGAGAAAAGATGAATAAAGAATATAAAAAATTCATGGAAACAATTAATCTAGAGGATGAATGCACCAGGTGGATCTCAGCCTCCATGACTTTGATGCTAGAAGAACCAGCTAGTACCTGGTTAGCATCTCAGATAAAAGATCAAAATAGAGGGTCCTGGAGAAGAGGGAGAAAACTATGGAGCATAAGTGAAAATCATGAAAAGACAAGGCTTAAATGATCATATATACATTTGTTGAACCCCAGACTATGGCCCTTAGTCACCTTTCAAGTTTGTGAAAGATCTTACCACTCCCCTCCCCCCAGCTGATTGCTCAATTTTTAGCCAAACAATAGACAAATCTGTAGTAGAAACAATAAAATAACATGAGAGAAGCACATACTCCTTAGAATAATCAGCCATTTGACATAAAAAGTCAATATTTACCCAAGGATACTGTTCAGAGGGTTAGGAAAGGAAAATGAATGTAAATGGAAGCACAGGAAGTAAGTAGGATAAATGATATTACATTGTAGGGAATATGCTCAAGGATATGAAATAAAATGTGTGTATATATATATTATTGAATGACAAACTTACTTTTCTATACATCTTCCAACACAATTTTTTTTTAAAAATTAGAAATTATGATGTGTAATAGTGAATGATGTTAGTGAATACTTACAAGAAAGAATGCAAAAATAGAATTGAAAAGGCAGGAGACAGGACCAGAAAAATGGAAGACAGTGGTTTATTTTTTAATTGCATTATCAAGAGCAAAAAAATATAAAAGCAGGAGGAGAAGGATAAAGAAGAGCAAGAGAAGGGGAATGAAGAAGAAGAAAATGAACAAATCCTAAGGGATGTGTCAAAAACCATCAAGAGAAATATATTACACAAGTTCCAGAAGGAGAAAAAAGAAAACTCCAAACTGCCTTTTGATGTAAATAATGGCAGAAAACAAGGTGAGCACCAAAACCACCCGCTGCTCCAAGTCAAACTTTACTCATAGAAACCCTCCAGGACAGGATAGAATTGCTCTTCAGATTTCAAAGGCTGTAAATCTTTACACGAGCAGGAAGTCTCATATTTATTCTATGGAGCACGTGGTGGTTTTGTTGCTGACCTTGTGGTTAGTAGTCCAATGCATAACCCACAACTTCGCCAGTAATAGTAATGATAACAATTAAATAATTTGAAAGAAAGGAAGTGGCATATATTTAAGGGATAATGATCTGTGTTGTTAGAAAACAAAACAATACGTTTTTAAGATTTTAATTGCATGATGCTGTGGCAAGTTGGGTTCTCTGGGGAAGCAAAATCAGTGGTACTAGTATAGGTATATACACAAAAAAAGAGATTTATAACAAGATACGGCTTAACATTGTAGAAGGAAGTACGTCCAGTTCAGTTCTATTCCTTAGGTCAGATGTAAACTGAAGGCTTCTCCTGGCTCTTGTAGCTGCTGAAGCTGATGAACAGGAAACAAGATGATGAAGGAGGAGAGCCACAGGCTGGTGGATGCAGGGGTAAATGAATCCGAGGTCAGCCAAAAGAATACGAGGATGGCAGTGTACTGATAGCTCCCAGAATTTGCAGGCAACAAAACAGGAGATCAATAACCAGACACAGGATCCAGATCCAACAAAAGGCGAAGGGGGCAGAGCACTTAGCTTTGTTCTGGGTCTCTCTCAAGGGGCCATACCCCCAATGAGGTATTATCAGGTTTAGGCATGATTGATAGGTTGACCTCTGCCCCTACCTTCTCCCAGGAGTGTCTAGTTGACATAAACTCTTAGCATGGAGCCCTGCTGCTGAACCCTTACCATGGAGCCTTGGTGCTACTATAGTGATTATGTGCCAGGGTGCAATCTACGTGGCCAGCTGTTCTAAACCACCAGATCCATTGAGAACGACTGAGCTTTCTACTGCCATAAATAGTTACAGTCTCAGAAACTCACAATGAGTCAGCATTGATTCAATGACAGTGAGAGTGAGATCACAATGTTAAGAACAATTGCTTGCCAATATTTAAAATTCCAGAGCCTTCTCATAAAGAAACACTGCATTCCCATTAACCTTAATATACATTTTAGGAATTTTAATTTAATCACTAACATAATGTAAATAAAATGTGAAATTTCAAAACAATATAGTAGAGAGCAGGAAAACGTTAAATCTTATCAATCACATAGGTGCTATGAAAGATGAAAATGGAGAAAGAAAGAAAGGAAGAAAAAATGAAAGAAAGAAAACATGGTAAATAGAAAATAATAGCAATTTCCATTTATATCTGGTTTCTTCTAACTTATTATTCTTGGCTTTTTCCTTATAGAAGGACGGTGAGTCACTTACTCAACCCAACAACAAATCCAATGAAAAGGATTCGTTTTATAAGTCTTCTACACAAAAGTAAGCATTTCCCCAATCAAATTTTTATTTATAATATATTCAGTTATCTTTAATGACTATATTCTTTGTTTTTTATAATATCCTTGATCCTCTCAATAAGGAAGGGAACATCAAACATATTTTTGATTAGGCTATATTGATAGCTATAAGGAAAAGGTCACAGAAAACTCAGAAAACTAAAACCAATACAGAGAAAACATGATCAAAGAAAGAGAAAGAAAGAAAAGTAGAGTATCATAGGAAAGAATAGCAGAGACATGCTCCACAGGCTTCCTGGCTGAATACGTCTGAGAAGGTAGTGGGTCCTATATGTCTTTTCATTTACAAATCCGACCAAAAGAGAAGTCCTCTGCTCCCTGGAAGCTATAAACACAACTTAAAATCTAAGTACATCAACATTTCTTAAAGTTGGAGATCAGCAATGTCTGCTGACTCCCCTTCACCTGCTGCACCCTCTGTGCATGCCTCCTCCTCAGCACACATTGATGTTCCTTGACCCTGCTCCACCCCACTCAGCCAAACCTCTATCTTAGCATGCTAGCCTCTGCGTGTCATGCATGTTTAGCAGACTGTGTGGGCAGCACTGTTTTTCCTCTTTTCTTTCTTCTTTGTCTGGTGTCCCTCCCCCATCCACTCCCCTCGCCTGCATGCAGCTATGTGCACACACTAACACTTCCAAAGGATCACGATTACCCATACATTTCTTTATCATTTATTTATTTGCTTCTTTTTGTACTATTACTTTATTATTATTACTTTCTTTTTTCATTTTCTCTCTTCTTTTTTTCCATGCAGACCCACCTTCCAGTGGATCCACATGCCTCTAAGGCACATTACAGACAGCCAAGAATATAATCACAGATATAGGCACATCCACTGAAATAAAGTGTGTTTGTCTGTTTTTTAACTAGATTTTCTTTTCCTTTTCTCACAGGAGTACAAATGTCATAGCAACAAAACTGCATAATCCACACCTAAACCAAGGCTATATCTTTTTGGTTTTATTTCTCTTCTCTGCCTTTTTATATTTTTCCTTCCATTTTCATGCCTTTTTTCTACTTTTGTCTGTCTCTACTTTTGCTTCCATTCTTTCTTTTAACTCTTTAATTTTCTTCTTAGTTTATACTTATATATACATAAATCTTCACATGTAATTATTTGCTTACACTTTTCTCCTGCCTGTCCCACATCTCTTTCCTTTTCCTCAGAAAATATACTTCCCCAATACCAATGAATTCTTATTACCCCTCTTAAAATATATTTCCCCATTATTTTTTAATAAACTTCTTGATCTATTATTATTACTACTATTATTTTAGTCTCTATTCTCCCTCAACTCACATTCTCCACTTACCTATCTCCCTGTCTTTTCACAGTTTCATCACAATATATTTTGCACCTCCTATTATACCTTTCCCACATAACTCAAAATAAAGATCCAACTACCCCAACATAACGTATCATGATTCCACAGAAACAGCAGTCAATGACAGGGCACCCCACAAAATTAAAAAAAAACAACCATAAACAACCCAAATCACCTAAGCTCAATGGAACACTATGAAAAAGTGGAGTTCCTAGAAATAGAATGAAAAAGTGTGGTTTATATGCTCCTTTAGGATAAGAGGAAATTGCTTATGAGAACAATGGAAGGAATTAAAACGCTAGAAAACAAGCATCAAAAGAATTGCCAGAAAATAAAATATAGGGTAATAAAATTAGACTTGGTAAAAGGCCTGAATAGTAGAATAGAACAAAAGGAAAATGGAATAAGTGAACTCAAAGACAATTACTCTGAGTACAACTCATGAGAGAAGCAATCAACAAAAAAGTAAAGAAATTGAGAATTATGTGCAACAGTATCGAGACACAACCTATATCTCATCAGCCTCCTGGAACAAAAAGAAACAAAAGAACCTCTAGAGAAAAGAGCACGAGAAATCATGGAAGAAAAGTTTCTCATTGTGGCCAAGGGAGGAGAAAATAACTACCCAAAAAGCTTAGAGAACTCAAAACAGGATAGATCTCAAAAGAAAAACAGTATGACACATTGAAGTAAAAATCTCAAATTTCAAGGGAAAGGAAAGAATCCTGAGGTCATCTTGGGAAAAACAAAACCATCACCTATAAAGGAAAAACAATGAAGATAAACTCAGACTTCTCAGTAGAAATTATGCAGGCAAGAAGCTAAAGTCATGACAGATATTAGATACTGAAAGAAAAAATATCTGCCAACCAAGAATCCTATATCCAGTAAAATGATCTCTCAAATATGAGAGAAAAATAAAGATATTTCCAGACAATAAATAAAATTAAAAGAATTTGAAAAAGCAAGACCAGCATTACCAAAGAAATATAAATGAGATCACCATGGACATATTATCAACAACAGCAAACAACTCTGAGAGCTGCATACAAGACAACAACAACCAATCTATCAAAATGAAGCAAAAAATCCCACATATATCAATAACAACATGATTGTGTGACGATGGATTAAATGCACCAATCAAGAGACAGAGAAAATAAGAAGAATGTATGAGAAACTAGACTTATCTCTATTCTGCCTACAAGAAACACATTTTAAAATCAAAGACAAACATAGACAAAATCAAAGGATAAAGAAATGTGTACAAAGCCAAGGGCAATCATAAAAACAGGAGTGGCACTATTAGTCTCTGATAAAATAGACTTTAAGACAAACAACAAAATGAGAGACAAGAATAAACATTACACAGTGATTAGCAGAACACTAGAACAAGAAGACATGACCATAGTAAACATATGCTCCCAATTAAAGAACCTCCAATTACTTCAATCAAACCTTCCCAGAATTGAAGAGAAAAATACAAATCTCTACAGTAATAATAGCAAGCACTCATAGACCATTCTCAAGGAAAGACAGATGATCAGGAAAGAAGCTCTATAAAGAAACCAAAGAACTGAACAACACAATCAACCAGCTTCACCTCTTAGACATGTACAGAGCACTCCACGCAGTATAAATTCTTCTTAGACGTATACAAAACAAGAGCACATAAATTCTTCTGCAGCATACATGGTAAATACTCTAATATAAACCAAATATTGTCACATAGCAATTTTAATAAATTCTTAGTCTATGAGATCCTTCAATTTATTTTCTCTGAGAGTAGGCAATAAAATGAACGTGAGGTCAAACACATGAATATTGAACAACACATTACTTTAAAAAACCCTGGGAAATAGATCAAATAAGGAAATTAAGAAATTCTTTGAAATAAACAATAATAACATACATTTGGGACATAGCAAAAGAAATACTGAGGGTAATTTAAAACAATCAATGCACACTTGAAAAAAGAGGAGAAATCTAAAACCAACACCATAACATTTTTTTCTTTTTCTTTATTAAATACTTTTATTGGGGACCCTTACATCTCCCATCACAATCCATACATTCATCCATTGTGTCAAGCACATTTGTACATATGCTGCCATCATCATTTCCAAAGCATTTTCTTTCTACTTGAGCCCTTGATATCAGCTCCTCATTTTTCCACCTTCCTTTCCCTGCCATCCATCCCTCCCTCATGAACCCTTGATAAGTTATAGATTATTAGTTTTATATCTTACATCATCCTCTGTCATCCTTCACCCCATTTTAGGTTGTTCATCCCTCTGGGAAGGGTTATTTGTAGATCCTTGTGATCGATTTCCCTTTTCTCCCCACACCTTCAGCTTATCCTCTTGGTATCTATAATCTCATTGTTGGCCCTGAGGGGGTTATCAACCCTGGATTCCCTGTGTTGTGGGCTCTTATCTGTAGCAGTGTGCATGTTCTGGTCCAATCTGATTTGTAAGGTAGAATTGAAGTCATGATAGTGTGTGGGAGGGGGAGCATTAAAGAATTAGAGGAAAGTTGTGTGTTTCTTGGTGCTATAATGCACTCTGACTGGATGATCTCTTCCTTGTGACCCTTCTGTGAGGGGATGTCCAGTTGTCTACAGATGGGTATTGGTCCTCTGTTCCCCACCCCCACCCCCATTCATACTTTCAACAACCAGATCAAGAGCAACAATAAGAAAAAAATCATGAAGATTAGAGTAGAGATAAATTAAGTGGAAAAGAGAGAAACAATGAAAACAAAATTAACAAGACAAGAAGCTGGTTCTTTGAAACGATTAACACAATTGACAAACTGCTTCCAAACTTAAAGGAAAAGACAGAAGATGCAAATATCTAGATTTAGAAATGAAAAAGGTGATATCACCGCATTTCATAATTAAATAAGAATAACAACACACTATTACTAAAGACTGTTGAATAATTCAACATTCTTGAAAATTCAAGTTTGATAATCTAGAAGAAATGAATATGTACTGAGAAATCATCATTTATACAAATTAACACCAATAGATGTATAAAACAACTGAAGCTATTAGCAAAAAGAAGAAATAGAGAAGGTAACCAAGAAACTTCCAACCAAGAAAAGCTGAGGATCAGATAGTTTCACAGGGTAACTCTATCAAGTATTCAGTGAAGAGCTCTTATCAATTCTACACAGATTATTCTAGAATATAGAAAGGGCAGAAAATTCCCCAAATTATCGTATGAACCTTCAATATCCCTGATTTTAAAACCACACAAAGACAGAAAACTACAAGCCAATATCTTTCATGTACATAGAAGCAAAATTTTCCAACTAAATCCTGGCCTATAGAATCCACCAGCTTATTTTTAAAAATCACCATGATCAAGTTGGTTTCATGCAGGGATGAAAAGATGGTTCAATATTTGAAAAATAATCAATGTAATCCACCATGTAATCAAGAGGAAGAATAAAAGCCACATGATCGTATCAATAGATTTTAAGGGGTATTTGACAATATCCAACACTCATTTATGATAATAAAAGAAAAATAAACTCAACAAAATAGGAATATTTTATATATATATATATATGGGAAATTTCTCAACATTGTATGGAAAACCAATGGCCAGCATAACATTCAATGAGA